GAAGGTGTCTACACTGGGATTAAAAAAACAACAACTGGAAACCTCTTTTGGACGTATACATACGGCCGTGCTAATGATGAGATCAAATATATAACCTATGTGAGTTTAGTCAACATTTTTTATAAGTTTTTCCAAAATATTATGATGTGACAGGGCCGTTAGATAAAATGAGATGAGACCTTTACTGTCATTGTCACTTTTATAGGAAACAGCAAAATTGTAGAGTTGACTCAGTGTAAGGAATGGTAGTAAAAAAGCTACACACATTAATCCATAGAAAAAAATCATTTTGTAGTGATATACACAAATTGCACTGGTTAAATGTGTGTACAAGTATAATGTAGAAAATGAATTGATTTTGAACAGAAAATAAGTGCAAACTAATATCATCCAAACTATTTGTGGTAAACMTCTTTCACAGTTTACTTTGAGACTTGGAATTGGACCAATGTTTAAACATATTTGCTTTTTTTGACCTACTGTTTACCAGAAAAACATTTATGAAGTATGAGGGAGCAAACTTGGACCAAGTCTTCACAACCATATATTTTAACACCTGCTGCTGTTCTGTGCTTGTAAATGTATTTTCTTTCCTAAATTTTGCTAACTAGTTTTTGTGCAACTGTTGGTTATAAAATTGATCATATTTGCCTTCTCTTGAGATCACAAACATTTCAAGGAAATGCATTTAATGAGAATTCTTCCTTTTGAGGCAACAATCTTTACATTCTCATCACACTTACATAAGTTTCAAATCTTGATAGTGTTTGCATGTTTGAGATTAGATAGGAAAAACTTCACAGATTATATTTCTGTGTGATGTAACCAAACTTTAAAATCAGTATAATACAATTAACCACTTGTATTGAAGATTAGGMGGTGAAAAGTAGATTTGTGGAGGTTAATGCTTCCCCTAGGTTTCTAAGTTTTGTAATTTGAAATATTTATTAACGCATGCAGCTTTTCTCAGTGCTGTGTAGTTTTGGGGACTTCTCAAAGAACTATTTAAAAKCTAGTAAACAAGTGAGATAAACTCAAATTAGAATTTTGTTTAACATAACCCACTTAAATAATAGGGCTGTGTATTGGCAAGAATTTGGCGATACGATACAAATCATGACAGAGGGGTCACAATACGATATATCCCGAGATATTGTGATACTATAAGCAAGGCGATATATTGCGATTTTTTTGTCCAAAAATTCTATTAAATAAAAACCTCTTACAGGGGAAAAAAATGAAAAACCAAAATTCATTGTCTCAGAAAACTCAAATATTACATAGACATACTTTTGATACATTTAGCTGTGTTCTGCTTTGTATGTGTTTTATTTTATTT